GGAAGAAATATGCAGAAAAGATAAAAAAGAGAACAGACTCCTTCAAGGATTCCTATGAAGCACAACATCCATTATTAGAATATGGAGTGAAATCTGCTCTGAAAGCACTTGGAAGGAATAAAGCACCCAGAGAAAATAGGGTACCAATAGAACTATTCCGAGCTACAGAGACTAAATTGATCCAAAGCCTAACAAGAATATGCCAACAAATATGGAAAACAAAACAATAGCCCACAGACCAGAAGCGTTCAATACACATTCCAGTCCACAAGAGATGCTAAGGAGTGCAGCAACTATAGAATCATTGCATTACTTTCCCATGCAAGTAAAGTGAAGCTCAAAGAGGTGCAAAAAAAGAATTGTACCTTACATGGAGTGAGAAATGCCTGACAGTCAAATTGGATTCTGAAAAGGAAGAGGGCCCTTGAGATCATACCACAAATATACGCTGGCTCCTGGAGCATGCCAACGAATTTCAAAAGAAACCCAGTCTGTGCTTCGGAGAGTACAGCACAGCAACGTCTTTGTGGACCATGAAAAGCTGTGGATGGTCCTGCAAGAAAAGAGCATGTGCCCTCTGGGATGACGGAGAAGAGATCCTGTCCTTCCTCTTTGGGACAGTCTTCCAGTTACTTGTAGAGTGTTATCATATCACCCCGTCCTGCCCCACGCAGTCTTCTCTTCTTGAGGCTGAGTGTGCCCAGTTCTCTCAATCTCTCACCAAGTGTGGGCTGACATTAAAAATGGTCAGCTATGAAAATTAAAATAAATTTTAAATTCTGCTTTACAACTAAGTTGTTGAAAGGAATTAGCTGAGCACAATATTCAGCATTTTTTAAAAGATCGGACATACAGACTTTAAAAAAAAACAGGCATATTCCTAACAAGGCATTTCATTCGATTCAGAATCATTTCTATGACGTTTCATTTCACATCATCACAGTGAATGATCTGATGGTTCACAATGAGGGACTGAAGCAGTACAGGCCCTATGGCCAGCAAAGAGGGTGTGCATTTGCTTAACATTTGCATGTGCTAGTGAGACTCTCCTCACCCTTCACAGAGTGCAGCTCCAGGATCCCAACCCGCTACCTAACAGTCAGCACAGGTTACGGGTGAGCCAGGTTTAGCCTGCTCTGTAGCCTTTGCCAACATCCTTCAGCAACCATCGCTCCCATGTCGATATGGATTATGCCAAAAAGGCAAAGGAGAAGCCTGCCATCTGGTGGCTGTGCTGGGTCCTAACCGTTGCTGTGCTTCTCAACCCGAATTGTTTGGGGAGCCCATAAAGGGATGCCTCCTTTGTGTCGCTCTATTTGGCACTGATCAGGCCCCACTGGGAGCACTGCGTTCACTTCTGGGCACCACATTTCAAGAAAGATGCAGACAAGCCGGAAAGGGTTCAGAGAAGGGCAACAAGGATGATCAGGGAACTGGAATGGCCTAGGGAGATCGTGGGCTCTCCCACACTGGAGGCATTCAGGAGGCAGCTGGACAGCCACCTGTCAGGATTGCTTTAACTTGGAGTCTGGCACTGAGGAGAGAGTTGGACCTGACGGACTTTTGGCCCCTTCCAACTCTACTATTCCATGAACCTATGATTCCTTCTCCTTGATGTTCATTCATTTGTTGGTACAGTTGCTTCCAAATGGATATATTACCAAGGTGGATGAGCTTGGCCTGGTTTGTAGAAGGAAGCCATTGTCCATAGACAATTGAGTAATCCCCTACTGACTCCTGGCTGGACAGTCTCGAGTTTGTCTTGCGGGGAGAGTTCTTGGGCAACGCACCCTCTTCGGTGCCTCCCCGTCCACTCATGAGCCTGTGCCCTCACTACCATTTTCACCAGCTTTCTGCTACTTTCTTGCCACTGCTTTCTGGGCCACAGCAAGAGGTGCGTGAATAAGTAGGTTGCAGTGATGAAGAGCAGATGTTACAGAGGGCTCTGGTTTTCCCCTCCTGCATCTTGTGGAAGTTCCTACCGTTGTTGTTGGAGTAGCAATGGCAAGGGAACCCCCATCCCAAATAGTGAAAGCTGAGGTTTCATTTGCTCTTGGGAGCTTTTTTTTAAAAAGCAGTTACTAGGTGGAATAGCAAGGATCACTTAGGGTACGTGGCTAATCAGCAGCTCTGAACGCACTTGACAACTTTGGATGCAAGCAGGGGTCAGAAGTGTGTGTAAATGCGTGGCAGTGCAGGGAGGACAATGTTGACTTGCCCCCTGCCAGAGAAGTGCCTTCTTAGCTTGTTTTTCTTGTGTATAAAGCAATGCTTTCCGTGTTCAGTGTGTTCTGCAGTAGCACTGGATTCATTCTCTTAGAAGTCTGGCCTGTATTGCTTGGCTTAGCCTGGAGATGTTGCCTGTGAACCGTTGCTGTTTCAGATCTGTTCAGTGTATACACTTACAACATATAAAGTTTACTAAGCCTTTCACTTTCTGGATCTAGCTTCCTTTATCCAGTCACTTCTAAATATAGTTATTGCTTTTATTGTAGAACACATTAAAATGTATTACATGTTGTGTATGGCCCTGGTATCTGTCTGTCTAATCTCTATCAGAAGATGAAAAATAAAATCTACAAAAGCAGACATCATGACTGATGCAGCAATCACACCTTACACAGAATACTTATTTGATGGTACATAATACAGTTGAACAAAATGTTTCTCAGAATACATATCCAAGATGAAGTAGTTAAGATCTGGTTGTCTGGGTAGCAGCACCTCAATAGGTCCGTAATAGAGCTGCCAGGTTATTAACAGGGACTGACAGATATTCCCATATCACACCAGTCCTATATCACTTATACTGGCTGCCAATTGAAGGTCAGGCCCAATTTAAGGTGTTAGTAATAACCTATAAGGCCCTAAATGGCTTGGGTCCTGGATACCTGGAGGAGTGCCTTCTTCCCCATGTGCCGGTCTGCCCCCTGAGATCGGAGGCAGAGGCCCTTCTCTGGGAACCCTCTTTGAAGGAAATTAGGAGGGTAGTTACTCAGAGAGGGGCCTTTTCAGTGGTGGTGCCCTGACTGTGGAACACGCTCCTCAGGGAAGTTCGGTTCCTCTGGTGTCGTCGCTCTATTCTTTTTGGTGTCAGGTGAAGACCTTTTTATTCTCCTGGTATTTTAACAATTAATTGGTTTTAGCCTTGTTTTTACTACTATTTTGGATGCGGTATGCTGTGTGTTATGGTTTTGTTCTTGGTTTTCTGTTCCCTGTAAGCCGTCCAGACTTTTTAGTAATGGACAACATAGAAACATTTTAAATAAATAAATATCAGGGGCTGTGGCAGCTATAAATCTGGCTTGGCCAAAGGACTACTAAGCCATCTCCAACTTTGTTACCGTGCAGACTGAGCTTCTTTCGTTGGTTTCTCATGTGATCTTGGACCAAATTCAACAGTATAGCCTTGCTATGACTAGCAGCTCCTTTCTATACTAAACATGCATGATGGTTACCGTACATGCTGGGAACTGCCCTTGGAGTTTTCTGCCTGAAATCTATGCACTCTGCCACTGCACTATGGGCCTTTTCCGTAAATCGCTCACACATTGGAAAGAACAAAAGGGTACTCAGAGCTAGGAAGAGTGGCACCCTTTCTGGCTCCAGCCACTGGGAATCCCGCCTCCACCATCATGCGCCTGCACTTCTCCTGGGCTCTTTTCCTTGGACACACTATGGTGTGCCAGGCTTGAGATACGGCTTTTAACATATTAAGTAATTTTGCAAATAGATTTGAAACAAGTATGTTGTAATATTAGGTATTAAAACACTAAAATGGCAGCAGCTGACATGGAACTATTTTTCATCTCCTGAGCATGCTCTCAGTGCATCTTCTTAATCAGAAAATGTCTTTTTATTGCAGTTTTAAAAAATTTGCTGATCCCAAGTGGCCACACAATGGGAGCCATAATTTCGTTGTACTAAAAAGCTAACGGAGTATTTGAAATTCCTTCAGGGAACAATATGAGGCTGTTAAAAGCATCAGGGTTCTTCTGCATCAATAAGGTTGAACTTGGGGAGATTGTGCAGACAAGTAGATTGAAATTTCAGCATCCTGCTGCGTATATTTCTTGAATCTCATTTTGAAGCTAACTTTACACATATATCTCATTTTTGTGTTATACACTAGACAATGTAACTAAAGTTATGGGGAACAGAAATGTCATCTGTAGAGCAAGGCAGAAATTATTTCTCTTAAGCACTTCTTAAGGGCACTATAGCACTGAAAGTATTCTGCATCTCTCTTGCATGTTTGCAGAAAGCAGCAAACTTTTGTTTCGAGTCACAGAGTCTCCTCCTCTCACTTTATCTTCTTCCAATATATACATTCCCCTCTGCACACTCTCTTAAACCGGCTGCACCTCTATGGAAGTTTGGCCAGCCACTCAACAATGGTCTGGGTGCTGGTTTTTAAGGGACAGTCCAGGAAAGTTTGCCATGACATGGCTGGGCTTATAATCTCAGAAGCACCATTTGGATTAGCTGCACTCTTGGAACACAGACAGGAAAGTGTGCCAGAAGGGTCCCATTGCTTTAGGCAAGGCAGGCTGCACCCAGTGTTGACGTGGTTGCAAGGGACCTGGGAATGCACACCTTCAACTGCCTGCTGAGGCCACTTGAATTGGCAACACATACAAAGCAGTTTGATACCAGGTCAAGGTGCTTGACCCAGCTAACCTGATGTTACCTATTTCAGGGTTTTTTGGACTCCAGCTCCATGTGAGCTGTTCAAATTGCAGAAACCAGAAACCGTGAGAATGCCTTCTGCCACTGCGCATGGCCTTCCCATATGGGGGCTTCCCCAAGTGTTTTGGCACTGCCAGAATTCCTGCCCACTGTCTCCTGTGGTTATAGTCATACATGGTTTCCTTCATTGCACAGAAAATATGCTTATCATACCTTCCTGCCCAAGTGCTAACTTGGTCAAGTGCTAACTCAAGTCACTGTGCCAAACTACCCATTTCTTGGCGATAGTAAGAAGCCGTTTCAAACATGAGAACAATTGATTACAGCTTTATTTCTGCCACATGGTTGGACAGTTTCTCAAGTTATTCCTTTCCCCGTGGAACAGAGTAGATGGCATTCGCAAAATAAAATCATTTCTGCTTCATGGCCTGTGGCAACATCAGCCAACTGCACTGAGAGCAGAATTCAGAATTGTCAGCTGAAGACAGATGGCCAAGATGTTCTGAATGGCTAGTTACAATGGTTGAAATCCCCAAGAGAAGCCTGTAGGACCTTCACCCCCTTTGCCCATCTTGCAAAACATTTGGGTACCCTGGCACTCTGCTGGCTCTCCTTCGCATCATACATCCAAGAGGTGAGCTGCCAGGCTACCAAATTGTCCTTTTGACGCTAGCCCAGCGACTCTTCTTCATCCCCTGTGCGATCTTCACTTCATTCCAGTCCAGTTTGACATCAGGAACTTCATCCACAGGCTCCGGATCTTCTCTGACCGCCCCATGGGGCTTTGCAACAACGATAGGCAGGGGGCCACACTCCTCGCGGAATTCTACTACATAAAGCCTTTTCTTATCTGCTAGGTCTTGGTGAGTTTCCTGATGGGAAAAACGGGAGAGGGTTCTAAGCCACATGAAATCCAGTTTTATCTTACTTCAAGCCCACATTGAACATTCAGTTCTTGGCTTTACTATAAGCAAGAAGATAGATACGTGTTCTTTCTCTAAACTGATGAAATGAAGTTTTAGGGTCTAGTATGACTTGTGCAGGATTCTCAAAGCATGGCAGGCATCAGCTGTAACTCTGATAATCCTAGATTTTTAAAATGTTTAGGTCAAATGTCTTGCAACAATGAAGACAAAATACTTAACAGACAGATTGTCAACCCACATGGATGCAAGGGTAAAATTAAACATGGGCAGGTGCTACAAACTCAGACAGTAACAGTAAATGTCGAAATAATTGCATTTTGGTTTGTCAAGTCTCATGACTCTAGGGTGACAGCAGCACAATACCACATAATGAGACAGAAGCCATTAATTTCTGGAAAAAACAACCAGATATAAGAAACCATTATCAATTCTTGTGATTCCACAGAAATAGCTTGGTTGTCACTCCTTCCTCGATTTCCTTATTTAGAAGGCTCTCGATATTGCAGGGATGAGGAATGGTGGTTGACCCTCCAGATGTTGTTGGACTTCAACTCACATCATCTCAAAGCACTGGTTATACTGGTTGGGGTACATGGGAGTTGCAATCCAACATCTGGATTGTTGCACATACTCCAGACCTGGTGTTATGTTTTGGTTTTTTACAATGCCAGATGACTTCTAATCAAGTCTATTTTTATTGTCACACAAACATAGGGGTTAGAAGCTATTTCAAAGTAAAAGTTGAGATTTCAGGAAACTGTGTACTTTTATCTTTTTTTCTGGTATCTTGTGCACACAACCTTGGCTGTACCCCACTGGTTTTAATGGCTATATTTTAAACATTAGAACTGAATGCATTCTCCTCTCATTTCCATCTGCTTTGGAAGCTTTTCACAGCATTGCACCAGCAGTCAAACTAACAAATGAAGAGTTTTCCAAGTTCCATTGAGAAGCCTGACTCCCATCTGGGTGTCAAAGAAACTCTCTTCAAACCCACAGTAAATTTCCCTTCAATGCTAATTTGACTTGCCACAGATTTGAGCAGAATCTGTTCAGTACTTTCCCCACTGTTGCAACATTCCTTCGAACACAAATTGGATAGGTCAGATGAAGATTAGCTTATTTCTCAGACCTGTTAGAAATACTGATGATGAGGGCAAGCGATCCATTCAGTGCACCAGCTTTGCAGAACCATGTGGCAACATCATCAAGGCTAAGATCTATCTATTTTATGGCTTCTCTAATGGCTTTTGGATTAGGAAGGATGGAAGAGAGGGGAGACAGGTAAGCTCTGTGGTAGAGCACATGACATGTGTAGACAATTTCAAGTGAGACGCAGGAGAGTTGCTAGCAGTCAGAACAGACAATACTGGGCCAGAATTCATGGCTCATGGGCTACCTGCTCCTCCAATTGACTCAACTGCCCCCAAATTGGCTATGAGCCTGCATTCTACAGCCAGCATGGTCTATTGTGGTGTGCCACTAAATTCTGGCAACCCATGGCTGATTCCTCCCCTCCCCATTGACACGCTGCAGATTGTGCGGCCCTCCATGGTGGCTATGAGTGAAACTGGTCTCCGACATCCTTCCTGAAGTTGTTTATACCTGGGCTTTAATGGACAAGTATGGTGGATCTGGAGGAAATCAAGCTTAAGAGCAGGGTCATCAAAACTGCTGAAGCTTCAGCTGGTCATAATTAACTGGTGCCCCACTTATTTCAAGAGGTTTAATTCCCTCTGGATCCAGCAGACCAGGAAGAAGGCAGCTTTCAGTGCTCCCCTCCCTCCATTTCCCCGCTCAGTTCTTGCAGGACTATTCATCAAGGGAGAGGGAGGGTAGTCACTAGGACAATAGTGCCTGAGCACGCTTCACCTGGGAGGGGAAAGAGCTGGCGGAGAGGGAAGCCTTTCATCAGGACAGGTGGGGTGGCCCCACTTCCCTGTCTCTTTCCCCCCAGTACACTATTCCAACTCCTCTGCGAAGTTTCTCCCTGGCTACTGTTTTGCCTTTTTAGGGTCTGGCACAAACTTAATATATTAATGTATATAAATCGTCTTCTTCCCCAATTTCTCTTGTAGGTCACACACAATCATTTTTATGGCTGGCTGCAGACTTAATCATGATCCATGCTAATCAGTTTTTGCTATTATGCTTTAGAAACCAATTTCAAAGCCTGGTAAGTAGCAAAGCTTGGTGGGTGAATTTGGACTAATGAAATGCATAATCTCACAGTCCATTCATGATACCTTAAATTAGGTTAAGGGACTGGAAATATTACGCTGATCTTGCATTCTTCTTCCTTTCAAGAAACCATTTTATCTTATGGTGTGAACATTTAAAAAAATAACATCCCTTTCCCCTGCCTCTGACTCCCATCTTTTGGCAGAATATTTAAAAGTATAAAGTATTTAAAACTGTTATACTCTGGACAGCAAGACTCACTGGGGAAGACCATGATGGTAGGGAAGTCTGAAAGCAGGAGGGGAAAAGGAAGACCAAGCATGAACTGGGTTGCTTCCATAAAGGAAGCCACAGCCTTGAGTTTACAAGAGCTGAGCAGGGCTGCCATGAACAGGACAATCTGGAAGGCTTTCATCCATAGGGTCGCTGTAAGTTGGAGAAGACGTGACGGCACGTGGCGACACAAACACCAGCTAAGTAACTAAAAGCGAAGACTGCTGAGTAAAAGCAAGTCTTATGTACCTGACCAACAGGTCTTAAATCATCCACTGTGTTTTTACCTGCGTTGATAATCCCTGGAAGAGTGCTCTGGTGAGGTTCCGTACATTCCTGGCTCCAGAAGTTTTGGCATACATATCTTTAATCCCAATTAGTTTACAGAGGGTGATAATTGCTCGGTGACAATGAAGACCATATCCTGGAAAAAGCAGTTGATCATTGTTAAAAAGCAATTTAGGGAAATAAATACTGTAAGCAACTGCTATTAGGGTGGAGTAACAGCCTATGAAACTTGGTGTCTGCAATCTCAGACTGTTTATCAGTGTCTTCAGTGAAGCACAGAACAGGTTCAGCTTGCGAAGGGTTCCAAAACTGGATGAATCTCCTGCACGAGGGCATCTGGTCGACTGAGGATGCATCACAAGACATCCAGTAACAATCAATCACCCTTACTGCATTCCAGCTCATCTTGAAGCCATTCTTTGCTCTTACAGCCACTCTAATACGATTGCTTTAGAAGGGGAAGTGGCAGCTGGCTGCAGAAGCAAGAAAACCTTCCAGAAGGAGTGGTGTGTTTATGATGGGTAGTGGTGGTCCACCTTGGGGGATGAAAACTCTGGCTTGCCACCTCCATCTGTCTTCAGTGTGGCATTCTATAAAAGCCAGTGGTGGAAGCCACGCTGTGCATGCAGGAGGTCCCAAGGTGCACCCGGATGCGTTCGTGTCTAAGGAAGCAAGGGACAGCGAAGCCATCTCTGCCTGAGATCCTGGAGAGAAGCAGCAACCGTAGCCACAATATTTGGGCTAGATCAGGGGCAGGCAACCTGGTGCTGCTCAAAGCTTGTGGTTTGCAAGCCCGTTTGACCCAGCCAGCGTGGCCGGGGATCATAGTCCAAATCACCTGCAAAGCACCATGTTGCCTACCCAAAAGCCAGGTGGGGGTGTTGTTTGACTCATTATTAGGCAGCTTCTTAGGCTACCAAGTTGCTGACCCAGTGTTTTTTTAAATCAGAAGCTTTATTATTTAAATTAGTGAGAGTTATGGGTTAATTTATAAATTAACCATCTTTTAGCCACTGCTGCAGGGAGCCAAATGTGCCCCCATGCAGAGGCAGCTGGTGCCTCGTCCCAATTCTGCAACTCTTGCGATTCCATTCCCAGCTCCACCCACTCCACCTCCTGTTTACATGTCCAGCCTCAAGCTCCCTGAGCAACTCCTGGGCCTCCAGCCTGCTCTGCTATTCTCATTCATTGGAGTCCTTGACAAGGGGAGGGGGCTACAAATGTAGCTGGACTCCAGCTCTCATGGCCTTTATCAGTGGCTTCAAGGACTATTGCTTTAGAGGAAGAGGTGCAGCGTTTAATGGCAGCAGTGGAAGTGAAGGAAGGGACTACCCCATGGAGAATGGTCAGTTTGCCCAGGGGAGAGGCCCTCTCCCCAAGGCCAAATCCTTTACCAGTTGTGCAAGCAGAGGGGGGCTACTAAGATGTATGTCCCATTGGATGCTGCCCCCCACACTACAAAAGTGTTTCTAATTGTGCTCTGCTGTATAAAAACTCAAACTACTGACCATGACATCAGCAGGTATGCTTCTGTCTAAATATGCATAGGAATGCACCTGAGGTCATACCAAACCAATTTCCAGATTATTTGTAAAGCGACCAAGACTTCCTGCACAGCAAAGGATCTGACAACAATCAGAGATTTATGCACTACCTGGGAGTAAGTTGAATAGACCTGAGGGGGTGGCAGCGGGGAGAGAACTTGTCTATGCTTCCTTAGTGCCTGCCCCAGCCTGAATGGATGCTTCTGGAACTTGCTTCTGGTCCTGCAGAAGGTGATGGTGCACCCTGGTGCCTCCAGAGTCAGATCAGTGATCAAAGGGAGGTACTCTTCTGTGCAGAAAGATCCCCACTTTGGTGAAGGGTGGGAAATCCCACCCAGTGATTGCCAAGGACGGAGAAGAAACACTCACACTCATCTCTCCCGTCTCTGCTGCCTTTATACCAGTGGCAGAGCCACAGTGTGGTTCTGCAGATGGCTGGTCAAGGGCACCACTCAAAGCCATCTGCCACAAATGAATCAAAAAGAGGGCTGCCCTTTCGAAATAACTGAGCTGTGGTGGAAACTCCCCCCACCCTTCCAAGTAGGCTGGAGAGAACAAGGGGAGTCCTTGGCACTCCTAGGAGGGACCGTGCCTTGACAGTGCAAAAAGAAGACTTGCCATGACATCATTGCAAAAATGACAAGTTCTGAATGACGGGCGTTTCTAGAGCTTGGTGTGCGTGTGTGCGTGCGTGCACGCATGTGTGCATGCACGCACTGAAAGAATGAGAGAGAGAGAGGACCGTGTCTGTTACGCAAACAGGCTGCCGTGTCTTGAAAGGATTGGTTGCGGCTCAGTTGCTAAGCAAACCCCCGAACTGCTTCCCTTTGCCACGCAGAGACACCATTTGCTCAAAGCATTCATCCTCTGCAAAATCGACCTGAGCAGCGCCCCGTGCACAGGGAGCGCGGTCAAGCCTGGGTCCTTCAGGCTTGCTTTGCAGGAAAGCAGCTCAGTGCCTCCCTGCCTCTTTGAGGCCACCGCAACAGCCGTGTTACAAAGTGCAGTGACTCTTTGTCCCTTGTGAAACGTGATGTGTGGCTAGGCACTGCAATATTGTGAATGGGAGACTGCAGGGGCATACACACAAGCTGCCCTGGGATTACTGAAGGAAAAGCAGGATAAAACAACCGACTGATCGTGATTGTCAGTTTCCCCTTCAGCTACTGAGGCATCAATGGAAAACAAAACAGACTTGATAATGGGGCCCAGAAGGTCTGAGCACATGGAAACAGCTCTAGCCTATTGAACTGGCTGCCTGTGAGTAGCTGAGCCCTATTCAAGACACTGGTCTGGACCGATAAAGTGTTACGCAGTTTAGGATTGCAACACTTTCCCATACACTACAAACAACCCCTTAGGATCTCCTCCATGAGAGTCTGGAGGACGGCAACAAGGAAAACGGCCTTCCTGGTGGTAGACTGCTTGGCACCAACATGATCGTCTTTCTGGCATCAGAACAAGCCTTTCTTCTACATCCAAACATTTGACAGCATAGGGTTTTTTTTTTAATTTTGTCAATCAGTTTACAGTCTTTTATCAATCGGTCTTTTGTCTATTACGACTGTTTGGTAATCTGACTGTCAATGTTTTAAGCTTGTTGCAATTTCTTTACATGCTTGAATGCTAAAGGTTTTATATTGTTTTATCATATTATAAAAAACTTAGTCACTTTTGGCTACTGGGTAGGACAGAAATGTAACCAAGGGATTGAAAACGTATATATATGTTTAATATGTTGTAAGCCGCCTAGGAAGGCCTTCTGGCAGTTATAAATATGTGCATAAATAAATAAATAAAATCAATATGCAAGACAACCTAGTCCGTATTAGTGTTGATCTCAGTTCTCCAAGTGCTGGATCCTCTATGGCTCAAATGGAACTATCCATGTACCTGTAAGCAATACTGACTCGCTTGGAAGAACATCAACATTTGCGCAAGTACAAGATGTCGAGGAGCATCCGCCCTTGCCAAAAAGAAAAAAGGGCTCTTTGAGTACTGAGCCCGCTCCACATGTGCAGAATGCTGACGGCTTGTTTGGTGGCAGCAGAAAACAGACATGGACCGAGAGGAGCCGCAGGAGCAGTCCTTGTGGGAAGAGTACTGCACCCTGCCACGTGATTTTGCAGGCCACCCACACGCCCACCCCGGGTCATGGATGCTTCGGTCAGCACTCTTCCCAAATAATGCCACTGAACCTCCCACCAGTGCTCACCTCGGCCCATATTTGCCATGGCATGGCAAAACCATCGGGGACAAAAGGGTTAACATGAGCTGGGGTGCAAGCTAAGCGACTGCTGAAGCCTCTTGAAATGGCTGAAGGCTGCGCAGATCCATGGTCGTGACACGCAGATGTCAACTGCATTGAGCAGCCCTTGGAGGAAGGCACAGACCCAGCTCTGGGGTGGTGCAGACCTTGCCCTGGGCTAGGAAAGGCCCCCCAAAGCAGAGAGGCCTCTTTCTGCCCAAAATGGCCCACATGCACTTGAGGTTACCATTCCCTAGACACAACTCCAGCAGCGTGGGAAAAAAATCTGTGTGTCGCCTCTAGCCACACGTCTCTCTCTGACTGAGAGTAACATTTTCACTCAGTTCACATTCCAAAGAAATCTGGGGCAGCGGAGGATGGTTTCCCATGTAAACACAACGACATCCACCTGTTAGAAATAACCTACAGAAATTCAGGGTTGGAGTCAAGGTGGAAAAACAGTTCTTCCAAAATGGCATATTTGGGGCTGCTACCAAAGGAAACGCTTGATAAATAGCCTTTACAGGGATCAGTCTGACATAATTATGTTGAAAATCCGATCCCATCTCCAAGCATGAAATCGATACTTTCTCAAAATGGCAGAACAAATGGCCTGAGATGGCAATCACTTGCTTTTCAATTATGGGCAAGGGTTGGGGAGAACCCTTGGCCTGCTAATAGATTCCCTTTTCTCCATTTGCTGAGCACCAAGCTTGCACTGCAGATGGGAATAATCTTGAAGAGCTGCCTTAATGGCTTTTTAATAAAAATGCATTAAATTGCACTTAGGTTTTTAAAAGATTTATAGGCCTGAGTTACATGAAGCAAGTCTTCTTCGTTGGGTAACTTAAGAGATCTGTTTCATTCTAAGTAAAAGCCTTAGTAAAATATTTTCATTTAAGAAGTAATAGATGGCAATTCCACAGGAAAAAAATCAGTATAATACTCTGGAAAGAAAAAGGCTTGCACTTTCTCTTACATCCTAACCTTTCCAAGTACAGCTCAGGATTGCAAGCTCTCATTGCGCTCAACCGTGAAGGCAGGCAGTGTTATATAACAGTATAGTTGGGAGGGACCAAGAAGGTCTACTAAATGCAGAACACTGAATTAAACCATCCCTCTCAGATGGCTCTCCAGCCATTATGTTCCCCATGTTCACAAGTAAAAGCCCTTGACAGGCAATCCAAATGTTGTGCCAAGAAACTTTGCAGCTCCCATAAATTATGCCAGTCGAAAAACCTGAGTGTTCTCTCATTCTGCGTAAGGCATTCTTCTCTCCACATCCTTATGAGGAAGAGCAAGGACGTGGCAGTTCACCTACCAACTGCTGAAAATCTGGCTCACCACCCCTCTTGAGTCTAAGGTTTCAGGAAGGGGTGCAGACACATTTTCAGTGTTTAACTCTATAGTTAGAATCCTGCTTTCTTTTGTGTTCCCACACTCAGTACGACGACTCTGGACACTTCCTCCTCCTAGAAGTCAGATTTTGCATATTGTGTTCTTGTGTTAGGAGTGTGCATGTGTGTGTTACCACCATCACCTTCACAATCAGTGTGATATAGCTATGGTCTATGTGGCCACCCACCTGCCTGACTCTCTTCCTGAACTTTATTCTTCAGATTCTTGCATTTGGTGCTTCCCTTCTTACCTACTTCTGCGTGACCTTTTGCAAGGGCTACCTGGGTGTTCAAGGGACCTCAGTGGATGAACTGCAGTTCCCTGCATGGAGTGCTTAGCCTACTGAACAATACCTGTGTTATCAGCAATAATGCCAGTAATGATGAAATCTACGCTATTCCACAATCCAGTGCCTCATCTATCATTCCACTTATGCAAATCTATGGTGATACTTAAAATATTGTATATACTTCTGGTCACTACACCTAAATAAGCATACTGGTTTTAAGTGATCAAGGGCCTGAAGCAACTGCTCTAGGAGGAAAGGCTGCAACATTGGGGGCCATTTAAGCTTAGAGAAAAGGCAAGTTAAGTGGAGACATAACAGTGATGGGTGAAATTATGCATGGTATAGAGAAAGTAGATAGGAGCACATTCCCCCACTCCTTAATATCTGAACCCAAGTTCATCCCAACAAGCTTAGTGGTGGGAGATTTAGCACAGATAAAAAGAAGAACTTCTTTACACAGGAATCAGTAAAAACAGACTTCCCCAACCTTGTGCCTTCCAGACACATTTGGACTGCAAGACCCAGAATTCCCAGTCAATGCCCTGCTGGATAGGAATTCTGGGAGTTGAGGTCCAAATGCTTCTGAAGGCTGGGGAAAGCTGAGTTAAAATATGGAAGTCTTTTCCACAAGATGTAGAGGTGGCCATCAGTGTGGATGGTTTTCGAAACGGACTGGCCACATTCATGAGGAAAAGGTTATTGGCACCAGGAGCTATGATCATATGCTACCTCAAGTATCAGAGGCAATAAGCCAAGGTATACCAGTTGCTAGGGAAGGTAGCACTGACTGGCATTGTGCTTGATAACAGAATGCTGTTGGTCTGATGTAGCTGGGCCCTCTTCTGTTCTTCCCATTTGCAACTGCAGCAGATTGATAAAAATTCAATGCATTCTGCCCATCAAATGTAATGGGGAGTTTTTAGCCATGTGTGCTGATGTGTAATCCAAACTGAATAAATTTGAATATTAGTCAACTTCCCCTCCACATTACATGGAAGACGATGCTAAGAAGAAAACATGGATCACACTGATTAGGAAGAAAACACATCTAAATTCTACATCAGTTGTATCCTTTGCTTACCCCTATTTTGCTTCTTCATCCGGATGGTGGTTTTTTGGAAAGTAGTTGCAATATCATGATAAACTAGAAGAAAAGGAAAGTGTTATAGAAAGTAGGTGCTAACTAAGCTGTGTCTTGCTTAGCATAGCTTGGAGTTATCATTACTGGGAGCACTTAGAAAAAAAAATAAGCATGCTGAAATCCCACCAATTTCATCATAACAAGCACACTTATGTCTTTTTCACACATTACAAGTTTCCTACATGGAAAGTACTTAGAAGCAGGAAATAGATGCATTTTACTTGTTACTGTGCACTGTTCAGAAACCTGCTAAAACAGTTTATTTATAACGATAAATATATTTTTAAAAATAAATGAACTAAAATGAAGTCTCCAGTTTGTAGCCACCCCAATAAAAAGAATATCAATATAAATACTAATACAAACAGCATAAAATGAACCAGGTTAAAAGTCCTGGGAAAATGTAATGGTTCAGGGTGTTTTATTGGTGTCACAACAATCCTGTGGTTCCTGGGCAAACATCAGAGACCACAGGATGGCTCAGGAAACCCCATCACGGTTGGAGACAGTGCTGCAGGGGTCAGAAATCCAACCCTTCTCAGGTGCCCATACTAGATGGACTTAAAAGCCCACCTCAAGAAAGCACACGAGACAAAGGACAGGGGTGCAAAGATCATCTCTGCAGCATTTCCTGCACTGCTCACTCGGGTCCGGCAGGGCAGGGCAGAGGCGATGGAAGCCTCCAAATGTGAGGGGTTCCAAGGGATGTAGGTGTAACTGATAGGGCTGCATGTGACAGAACATTATTGTAGGCAGAGAGTTCTGAATGGGGTGCCACAAACCAGCTCTCACCTCTCTCTAGGCTGACCTGAAACTTTGCTCTAACATATTTTAACTGTGTGCCGCTTCACAAAGATAGCATGCACCTATCAAGTGCCAAAAACAAAGTCCTGCAAGAGGCATTATTTTAGGGTGTGCTTTATAACAATGGACAGATTGCCAGAAATTTAAACAAGTCCTCACTGCCCCTCAGTCAAATAGCGCTAATAAGATGGCAACTGATAAAATAGTATTATTGCAATGGATGTGGGTAAGTCGAATCATAAAATGTGAATACTGAGCTATCAGACTGCACAGGTGATGATCAAAATTGATGCATAGCTTTAACATAAGTTTCACATATTAGAGAGGATTTATTTGGTCTCTGAGATTTATTTTGCAGTGCAGTTTAATTTATGATTCACTGAATTCCACCATGGTAGAATGGCAAGCTATAAACAAAATGAAAAGACAGTCATGTATGCATGAACCAACCCTCTCAGAGATGATAACTGCTTTTATAAAACAAGAGACAAGGCATTCCAGTGGCCCACTTCAGAAATTACTGGAAAACATGGTTCCCTGCTATGCAAAGGAGCTGAGCTGAGTTTTGGCTTGCAAACCTCCCTTCCTCCTTTTTCACATCTGTGAGATCAGAAGCTTCTTCTTTTACTTAAAATCGAACTATGACATCTGAAATGAAGCAACTGTGAACTGTTTAAACTATGGTTTGAAAACAAACCAGGATCAGAAACACATTTTGATCCTGGCCTGCCCATAGCTTAAAACAACTTCAGTATTCCAAACTTGGTTGCCATGGGGAACTGTGGTTTCTGTAAAATCAGAAGCTTCTAATCTGCTAATTGTAGGAGTGAAAAGGGAAATTACACAAGCAGCTCATTCATGTACTACAAAACCACAATTTTCTCATTATGTCTGAATTGGGTCAATTTCTCATATTCATCAAATTTTTGATCAAGAAGGATAAATAGCTAGAAAGATAGAGAAACATATTAATATACAGAATAGCAGTATCACCCATTGAAAAAAAGTTTAACATTCTAATACTTACTTGTGTGATCGTCGTATCTTTCGATATAATGCAAATTGTGCATAGCTCTGTTCTTTGCCTGGGGTGGAAGTGGGGGCGGGGTAAGGGATAGGATTTTTTTTTTATTATGAAATGGTTACATAAATATACAACTTCAATTTTAGAGCTAAATCAAATTATATATAAAAATGAGGAAACATTAACCTTTTGTTATTTTTTCCACTTTTGTATTGCACCAAAATAAAATTAAGTCAGTAAGTTAAAAGGAGGGGAAAGTGACATTATGAAGTACCATCTAACTATGCTTAAGGAAAGATTACCAGCCCACATATGTAATGTGAGGCACTTGGAACTGAAGAAACAAATTTTGCAGGGCCTTTTTAAGTGAAATACAAAAAGCTCTCTTATACTGAGTTCCCTCTTACCAACACTGATTTGTAGCAGCTTTCCAGGGTTTGAAGCTGAAAGCTTTCCATCCTTGCATGGAAAGGTTGGGGATTTTATCTCATATCTTCTGTGTATAAAATATGTCCTCTACCACTGGGACAGGTCCCCTACCTGTAGTCACCTAGAGGCAATGCTTTCCTCGCCACATGTGACCAGTGAGAACTATTTGCAACACCTGGCTTAGATTGGCAACAACAAACCTCTAGCCTTATTTGATTAACATTACTTCAGTGGATGAAATGTAATTGGATAATCAGATTTGAGCTGGAGGAAAAATGGTTTTTCAGGTCTAGAACTCCTAGAGAGAGTGGAAGGCAATTATGATTTTGAAAAACAAAATTTTATATGTTTTATTTGCCCAACATTTTAATAGTTAATTCTTATTCTCCTTGTTTATATTGTAGTTTATTGTTGCTTACCTTTGGACTAATCTGAGTGCAGCTGTTGTGGGTCTATTGCTGTTTTTACTGAAGTATTATTCATGTTTGTTTCTATTGGTACAATGGCTATTGTGATTATTGTATATTTTTAACCTTGTGCACCACCCGGAAAGCCTGTTCTGGTTAATGGGCAGTATATAAATTATATATATACACACACATACATACATACATATATAGCTGAAACATCTGAGTAGTGACTTGGCTGGCAACCTGCAGTTTTTTTTCACAGCATTTACTTTTTTAAAGGGGGGGGGGGTTAAAAGAAAAAAAGTTCTTCTACTAGAAGAGAACCACAAAACTATTATAAATGTATGTTTTAATTTTAACAGATTATGTTTATTTTTCAGACTACATACTTTTCTTAAGGCGACTGTCCTGTCGGCTGCTTTCCCCAGTGCGAAGCCTAATGGAGGCAAGCAGATCAGTCAGTCACAAACAGATACCCACAAAACTAGCAACCACCGGCCACGGATCTCTGTGCTCCTCTCACTTGCACCATTTGCCAGTGTAGTACTGAGGTGTTCTTCAATAGTCAGTTTGGTTTCCCCCAGTGATGCTCCAACTATGATCAGCTGGGGATGAACCTGAAGGAATTAGAAGGCACATGTGAAATCCTTCACCTCTCCTGTCCTTCCATGGAAAGACTCACCAGTTTTCAGTTGAAATAAGAAAACCTTACTAAAAGTGCACTTTTCTTAATTTAAGGACCACTTAGAGAAAGTGCAGAGAAAGTCTAAATGCCACAAGGCCTTATTTGCATCTAATACACTGCCACTGGCTACCACAGAGCAATTAATGGCAAAGGAACCTCTATGAAAGCGTGCCTTGAAAATCCAGCTTATGGCGTCGGCCTTCTGGCTTGTTTAAAGTGGAGCAAGTGTATTTGATTTTTACTCGGAAGAAGAGCTGGTGTTTGACACTGAGCTCAGGAAGCTGATTTACATTCCAGCTGCAAGAGATGTGCTTGTCCTTGATAACTTAAGAATATTTCCAAGTAAACTGCTGACAGTGGAGAAATAGCCCCCTTATCAGCAAATCTTTGAAACAGGACTAGTCAAACTTTATGTGCTCCAAAGGCCGAAATGTCCTCCCAAGTTTAAAGGATGGAAATCAGTCTTGCTACTAGGGCAAATGTATCTCTCTTAGTCCACTCCTTTGGTCTTTCCCAGCTTTAGGCAAAGATATGTCTTCTTTCTACTTGTAGCCTTATAGAGAATCTCATACTTCTGGCCCTTGGGTGAACGACATGTAAAATAACTTGAAACATGGATGACAAGAGAAAAGATGACCCGCTTAGCTGCTATGGTCAATACAGACTGAAACTGGGCAAGAGAAAACACAAAGGACTACGGTCAGACGGCGAGAGAAGCACAGGAACAAAAACACAACAGGAACAGCTCAAGAATTCCTGGAAAAAGTGGCATTCCTGGAAAAACAAGCATGCAGCACGCTTAAGAGCACCTAACCGGATTAGCTATTCTTTAACAGTGTCCACCAGAGCGGCACAGTCACAGTGAAAGCCGATCAAGAGAGTCCATTTCTGTCCCCCTCTCAGCACATGCCTGTGTTAGAAGGGTCTTAAAAAGCAGACCCTTCTATGGCCTTTGGGCCACACTGCTGCTGTACAGTAGCTTGCACACAGTTATAGTCAGCTCTCCCTAGATGTCCTTTAGCCAGCTTGGACTACATCTCCCAGCTGGCTGGAGAGGATGCTGGGAGTTGCAGTCCAACTCCCCTGGAGGGTCTCATGCTGCGGAATGGCAAGAGGTCATTTAAAAAATCTGGAACATGCATCTATTTAATGTTGTTAAACTATGACTGACATAGGATACTTAACCCATTTAAATGACTGTTAAAGCCTATATATACACACCCAGTAAAAAACAGGGCCAAAGCCAGTCAGCATTAGCCGGGTCTCCATGACTTTTCTGTACACACTGCTCTGCAAGTGCACATTTCCTGCCTCCAACCCACTTTCCCCATTATCAGCCCTTCCACAGGTGGAAAGTTGAGCTAATAGGGGCAGTGAAAGTGAGCTAATGGCTTGTTCAAGCACTGAAAACAAGAGCAGAATCACATATGCCAGTGTGGAAGACCAGCACAGCCTAGAGAAACAGAATGGAGGAGTCAGGGCCTTCTAAGTACGAACACAAGACAGGCATCCCTTGTGTGTAAGCATTTAGCAGATATTGAATCCGTAGCTGTTGGCTAACTCTATTATTCCCATATTACAGACAAATGTTGTGACAATACACCAGCATTGTATTAAGGTGACAAATCTGCATCAAACTGCTTCCTGAGGATAAGTATTTGAAGAATCACATAATTTTGGAGGGCCTCAGAGGCCATCTAGCTCACCAGATGTTTTGGACTTCAGCTTCTAGCATTCCTCAACTGGCCATGCCTGTAGGGGCTTATGGAGCCGAAGTCCAAACCATCTGGAGAGGTATGTTCTGCCCACTCGTGATCTAGGCTACCCCCTTCTCAAATGAAGGAATCTTGTTATTGCATTCCTCACAGGCGGTTGTCCAGCCTTTGCTTAACGTCCTCCCAGCAAAGGGACACCCACCATGTCCCAAGGCAGTCTGTTTCACCATGAAACAGTTCTTGCTGTTAGGATGTTTCACCTGATGTTTAGCCAAAGCCTGGCTTCCCACTGTTCTGATTTTAGTCCTGCTTCTCTGGGGCAAATTTACTTACCAGCAAGTCCGTTTCCATTCCCAACAGCCACCAGGGCGCTAACAGTTTTTTTTCTTCCTTCTTTTGCGGTCATGTTAAATACATTTTTAAGCTGAAAGGAAAAACAACAGGAAAACTAAGACTTGCTGCAGTGCCCTATCATTTGAACTTTTTTGTCATAAGAAAATTTGGACCAATTTGCAAACTGGCAGCACCATATTCACAATTTTTTAGCTCTTTCAGCCTAGAAAGCTATTGGAATTAGGGATTTTTAGTCTGTGTCTATGTGTATACAATAAGCGTGTGTGTGTGTGGGGGGGGGCGAATGTATGGGGGACCTCCATTCTAGAGATCTACTTAGCATTATATGAATTGATTTCTGCATCAGGCTTTACCCTTTCTTTTGATTGTATTTAAGATACTGGATTTGGTAGGTTTATTTGTAGAGTGACATATCGGTTCTTCTGAGATTAACTGATGTTATGCACTGACTTACTGGCTCTAGGTTGAAATTTGTAATTGTTCATATTATGAGTTGCAAGGTTTACTATTAGCAACAAATCAACAAGATTTTACTGAAGGATTTCCTTCATTTATATAAATAAACTATTCCCCAGTCTCCTCTTCCCTGTCTCTCCCCACATTACAACCAATTTTTATTATATCCAGTCATAAAAGTCAACAATATATTACTATTTAAAAGATTTATATATATACGATCCATATTCTGGGCATAGGGATTTCAGAGCTGTGAACAAAATACAAGAAAACAAATAAAAGAATAAAATATGTAAACACAGAACCAATTAAAGGGTGTGGCTGGCAAGTGCAGGAAAGTTTCTTGAAAGGAAAGGGTTTTCCAGAGGCCCTGAATGCAACATTGCACCAACACCTTCCTGACCTCCAGAGGCAGGGAATTCTCAGAAATGGGGCCACTACCCTGAAGGCTGTTCTCTAGTTGGGCTCCAACTGGGCCACAGGTCCATATGGAACCACCCGGGAGGTGCCAATAACGTCAGTGTAATACATATTTGGTTACACTGACCAAGAACATGGAAAAAGCAATAGCCTGTCCAGCCCCTGCCTCCCCGCACAAGTGTTCAGCCAGTACTGGATATCCAAAAAGGGAAAGGAAATGATTGTACAGAGTGATGGGGAATTATAGATTACTAACAATAAATTGGAATGCATATATTATATACTCTGCTCACCCTTAGTTGTAAGCAAGTTTTTATATGTATGGACAGAGTTTCTCTAAGTCCAGAGAAGTTCAAATCCAGCTCACTCTTGGGGCTGAAAGAGGTTCAACACCCCTGGTTCAGAGGGTGTGTAATCCATATATAGCCCCAGAAACCTGAATCTATCTGGGCTCCCCTTTCTTGCAAAGGCCAAATGGTTTAAAGGGCACCTCTAGCATTTCTGCCGCCCAACTCTGCGTGGTATGTCTGCTTCTCCAGTGGTACACAATTATGCAATTCACAGCTATCGATGCTCACATGCCACCTGACTGAATCCTACTTGTCGACCTCGATTATGAAGGACCCATATTCACTTAAGAAAGCATTTCTGCCTCCAAAAAGGATAATGACTTGACAGTGTGCTATGTGGATGCCTGGGGATCTGCACCCTCAACCACACGTAAAAAGAAGGTGGGGTCCAACATGACAGTGGGATAAGGGTTTGTTTGTTTGTTTTTTGGCCAAGTCACAACTCTTAAATCAAGTAAAGACCTTTCTTGCAGCATTTTTGAACCAGTAAGACACTTTTGGTTCTGTTTTCCATTTTTAGCTTCTTGCATTCAAGTCTGTAAGTCCTCTTCCATGTTAGTAATTCTATCTAATTAGAAAATGCTAATTCTATCTCTTAGAAAATGCTCACTGTTGCTGTTCACCTGATGTGTTGTGAGCATCTTTGGGCACTATCTTGTTGAATAGTAGCACAAAAATAAACCAATGAAAGAAATCATCTGGGTTCCCACCACAGATTTCTCTGTGCACTCACAACCCATCCTGTCTCTTTGTCTACACATTTCTTATTCATGGTGAGAAACAGGCTGATTTGCATACAGGTTGTAGACTTCAGCTTTTCTTATGCAGTTTATAAGGGTAGAGAATTGGCCTGTTTAAGGCACACTTTTGTACCAGTGGTTATGCAGGCAGCCACAATTCCTCCACAACCAATTCAGTGCCTAGTTAGAGCCTTGATTGTTCAGGCATGCATGTGGTTACAAAGATACAAGGTGTTTGATGTTATCTCCTCTGTCAAACGTAGAGCATTTCACTTAATTTGTTATCAGGCTGAAGAAATATCACGGTACTGGGTGGGGTAAGGGTGAGGAATGACATCAAACCCTTGCTTTATTCCAGTCACTCTGCTGACCCTTTGAAGGAGAAAACACATAGATTTCAGCTACTGCTTAAAACAGCAGTGGGAAGAACATGCTCACATACACAAGGCAGAGGACAAGACACCTGCAACAAGCACTCCTCCTGCTGCACACAGTTCATGGGGCTTCCTGGGAGGGAATCTGCAGGTAACCCATTTCTGTTATGAGAGTATTATACCTTTGCAAGGCTAGCTGCACCATGGTGTCTTTCACAGGTGTCCACACACAATTCAATTCTACTGTTAGCTGCCTTGCATTTATTTCTGAGGGATACTGGCTGGGCAATGCTGGGAACTGCAGTCCAACATCTGGAGGGCAGCAGGCTGGGAAAGGCACTATCTAGGGGATGCTGAGAATGGCATCGTAACACAACTGTGGGGCATCCTATAGTATGGCTTTGTAGAAGGCCAGCTGTGGGATCCAGCAGAATAGAGGAAGAATGCCAGGCTGAAATCTGTGCTGAAATCCATCATGCAGGGAGGAAAAAAAATACTCTAAGAGAGGATTCAGACAGCAGGGCAACACCTGAGTGAAAGCTCTTCCCATGATGGTTGTAACTGCACAGGATGGATATTGCTGCACATGTCGTGGGCAAAGGAAGATGCCAAGTGGTAAAAGCAGAACTCCTTGAGCGGGGCACACACCACAACAACTCACACAAACCCTAAAGAATATACATTTCTTACTATGTTTTCAAGCAGCTGTCTTTCATGGCTTGATAACAAATTGGTCAGGAAATATTTTGCCACTGGATGACATTGGGTAAGGCCATTAGCAAAGGCAGGTAAAATCAGCTCGTAGAAAATATGTGGTTCCAGAACTACCAAAGCACGTGGACCATGCTTTAGATAGAGATTACCAAAGCTACTCCTGCTTTAGATAAAGGAAAGCATCTTGTTTCTGGGCTGCCTTCCCCAGCCAGGCACCTTCCAAATACATTGTACCACAACATCAGCCTGGCGGGTGCCAGATGGTGAGGATGGGTGCTGTAGTCTAACACATTTGGGGAGTGTCAACCTGGCTGTTTTGGAGCATAAAATCTGACCTAATAGCCCACTAGCATCTTCCATCAGGTGCTTTCACAAGAGACTCACTCCTTGCTGTCTGAATTTCCTGTACCTCCCACAGTGGCCTATGGCACATATTGAACTGGTAATGTCTTGAGCCTCATACAAGTATCTCTTTCATTTATATTAAAATGCAAGGCAAGCCCGACTTCATGCAGACCTCAATGCTACCTGCTTCTGTGGCAGAAATCATAATCTGTCACTAGCTGTGCCCGATTGTCAAGAGCTGAGCCTGTTCACAGGAACTAAGTGTCCGCATTTCTCAAATCACATCAGATCAAACAGGCATGTCTCCAGTTTGATCTAAACTGGCCACACTCAGAGCTTTGTCCGGCAGCAAACCTATCCGTAAGGCAAACCCTGCTCCACCCAAACATCACAAAAGCGGCAAGTGCTCTGTGAGTCTCTGTCTCTAGGATTATATGCTGCCCACGACACAATCTTTGAATGTACGCAAGGATATAAAAAAGGTTCTATGTGCATTTTTGATTGTACAGGAGGGAGGGAGCCTTTTACAAGAAGAGAGAGGAAAGTTCAACATGAAGTGGGATTTCAGCAGATATCACTGGCTAACCTTTACCAGAGAAGTCCACTGTAAAACCACTGTTGTTTCAACAGGAGCACAGCTGAGTCAACAAATACTCTGCTACTGCAGAGCCTGCATTTAGCTTTCTCTGATAAGCTATCTGTAGCACCTAGATCCATGGGAAGTCTGGCTTTTATTACTCCTAAATCCTTCTGCCTCTATTTGCTGGTAGGTATCCAAAGTTCATATGCTGATTTATGGCAAGAAAACATTCCTCGAAGACTTGAAAAGCTAGTCTTAAAAATCCCTTGCATTCTAAAGATATGCACGTGGGTTAGTGACAAAATGTCCTCGAATGTCTTAACCATGGCCAAGGCTGCAAACTGACAGACGTGCACCTGGGAGTAAGTCAGTGGGACCTCTTAGACTTCCAGGGGACCGCAGGTCCAGCATGTTATGGTCCCCAGCACAAATCACCACCCACAAACTACCTTAACATCAACACTGATGTTAACTGCAGGTAACCCAGCTTTCTCGAGCAGATCAGGAACTGATGGTTAAGAGAAAATTTGGCCATTATCAACCACAGTTAGGGCTGATGAAAAATAATCACTTAATGAGGTTTGGCACATGTCATCACATCCCTGGCTTTTGATCAAGGGGTAAGTGTATTTCTGCAGCAAGCGGCCAACAGAGAGATGATTCCACCCCCACCCCCACCCCACAATTCCAAGGTGGTGAGAATGGCAGGGAACGGAGGCTTCCTTCCCTGATTTCCAGAAGGTGGCAACAGCAGCACATGAAAACAAGCCAGCCAAGAAGAGCTGATCCAAGGGGAAAAAAGGAGCAAAACCACCCGTGTCAGCCGTTTCTGTGCGGCTCTGAAGGGAAATGTGCCCAGTCACCCATCACACTCAGAGCTATCACATCTCTCTTAAAACTCTTTAAAGGCCTTTCAAGCTTGATAATGTGCAGAGGCAGCTACAGACTCTGACTACATCAAGTGTCCTGACCCAATGCATTTTTTTCCATCTATTGAGCATATTCCCGCATCCCCCTCTCATTTTGGAATAGGAAAAAGCAGCTAAAATCCATCATTTCTGTGCAAAGCAATGCAGAATCTACACATTTTA